CCCCAAAACCCCAAAACCCCAAAACCCCAAAACCCCAAATTATTTATAAAATATTGAAAACTAGGATAATATAGATGCTCAAACAGTATAATTCTCAAAGCATTATGAACATACTTACAAAGCCTAATGATAGGTACCAGCTTGAAGATGCTCAGGATGGAAATGAGGGAGAAAATAGTGCCAAAAGAGACCAGAAAGGACAAGTGATTAAGCCTAAATGGCCAACCTCTGAAGTCGGCAGGTAACATTTTACCTAGAAATATTAGGATCCTAACCGATTGTGAAGGCAAGGAGATACCAATCCGGACTTTTGAGTATGATCCCAGAAAGATGAATTTTCAGAACAAGAAATTTAAATAAAGTTGATTTAAAGAAATTGTCAAGGAAGAAATCTATAAAATTTCTTACTTTAGATAAACTAGAACTAAGAACACATCGAGAGGAAGAGCAGCCATCCAAAATATTTGTACCTATAAAGCCTATAAAAGCAGTTGAACTACCAACACTTAGGTCTTTCAAGACGTTTGATATCAATCTTGATCAAAATATGTTCAAGGAGCATCGAAAAAGCCTGGTCAACCCTGCATCAACAAGTAAATTTCTATATGAATATTAGAAATTTATCCGGCATTATGAAATTCAACGAGAAAGAATTTCTCAACCAAAGAGGTATATTGGGATTTACCTAAATTAGTTGAAGCAGAATAAGGAATTCATTAAAAAGTTTGTCAATAAGCAGAATAAGATAAATAAACTTGTAAGCAAGACCTTCAAGAAAATGAAGAAAGAAGTAGAAATGAAACAAAAGTGAGCTTGTAATAACCTTCTAGAAAAGCAATTGTTAAGAATATGACAAATATTAATGAAGCCAAGGAATCCCAAATTTGGAAAACCCTAGAGACTAACTATGCTCTTAACATCGATACAAAGTAAGATTAGACTTATAATTCCAGCCGGACTGCTCCTAAACCATCAGACTCAATCCTACCCCCCTCTTCCAAAACCTCTTCACCTATCTCAAAACTACTCCACCAAGACTCAGAATCCAAATCCACCCCTATAAACCCACCCAAACACCCCACCGCCATCAAATCCCTCGCAATAACCCACCTCTCAACCCCCAAAATCCCCCTCACAAACGACATCATCCGTCGCTCCCACTACATCCCTCCTCTCAACCCCCAAAACTCCAATTCCCCCACACAACCAGGCTCCCTCTGCTGTCACCTCTCCCTAAAGAAACCTCCTTCTACCATACCCCCAACGCCCAGTCCTTACAGCCAAATCTCCAAAATTTCACCAAAGAACCCTTCCTGAACTTCCAAAAGAAGACAGGTTCTCCTCTCTAAAGAATGCGATTCTCAAGGAAATGTAGAGAAAAGGTTCCCGTTCAAGATCCCTTATTCGTTCACGAAGAGAAGTGGGGATCTAGAGATAGTCTAAAGCTATAAATCTGAGGTAATATTCACTCTAAGCGTAGTTGTTTGTGTATTGGGGAAGTTTAGCTTGGGTTTTGGGGGTGGGAATGGGTGAGGAAGGATGGGGTGCAGGGGACTTTAAGGGGTGCAGGGGAGAAGGGCTGGGGAGGGAGGATGGAGGGGAGATTTAATGGGGATTTGGGAGCGAGAATGGAGATAGGGTTGGAAGGTGGGAGATTGAGAGGTGGAAGATGGAGAGGTTTTGAGTTAGGTAGGGTTTAATAGGTTCAATTTGGATTTAGAGACGGGGTTTTGGGGTTTTGGGGTTTTGGGGTTTTGGGG